ATTTTTGGGATATATAATTGCTGGGGCAATACTTGGACCTGCTGGATATAATGTGATTCAGGAACTTATTCAAACAGAAACACTTTCACAATTTGGTGTTGTATTTATTGTATTCATGTTGGGATTAGAATTTTCATTCGAAAAGCTAAGATCTATTTGGAGATTTGCCCTCGGAAGTGCTTCATTGATATTCACAGCAACCCTTAGTTTTTTTATCTTGGCAGGATTCATTGTTGGTGCGAGTGTTAATGAATCGATTTTCATAGGGGCATGCGTATCTCTTTCGAGCACAGCCGTTGTTGAACGGTTACAATGTTCAGAGTTAAAACCACTTTACGGCTTGCTTGTCATGCAAGATGTGTTATTTGGTGTTTTATTGGTAAAAAAATTAAACAATTATTTTATAAGTTTTTGTCCATTTTTTTTTTTGATATATATATATATATATATTTATTTATTTATATCTTTATATAGGCAGCATTGCCAGCACTTTCAAAATCAGGAATTGATGTTGTTTTGGCCATAGGACGCTTAATTTTATCGTTAATCGTTTTCACAACTTTTAGTCTCGCTATTGCAAATATACCAATTGGATGGCTTCTAAAAGTTGTGAAAGGTTCCGAGAATCATGAACTTTTTCTCTTGGGATCAATTTCAATGTGTCTATTAATGTCACAAGTATCACTAATGTTGGGACTTGGAGTGGAAATTGGATGTTTTGTAGCAGGAGTTCTTATTCATAATCGTAAATCAATATTTGAATCATCAAAAAGCGTAGTTATACCAGTTCGAGATATTTTTTCGTGTTTATTTTTTGCATGCATAGGATTACATGTATATCCGAGCTTTTTGATAAACGAAGGACCGTTGCTCTTTACATTAACAGCAGGGGCGGTAGGATTTAAATTCATAACAAGTACAATATCATTAACACTTCTTGGACATAGTTTGCAAAAAGCAAGCACGATGGCAATTGGATTATCACAAATTAGTGAATTTGCTTTTGTCTTAGGGAGTAAAGCAAAAGGGTTTGGTATTATATCAAGAGAAGTTTATTATTTATTATTAACAACTACTTCTTTAACATTGATGGTTACTCCTATTTTATGGAATCTCTTATTTAGAAATAGAAAGGTGGTTTCTAGCGTCGAGGGTGGATTAAATGTTAGAAATGTTGGTAATGATTATACAATACCTATTTCTACAAATAATATCGAAAAAAAGGAATAATATAATGATGATAATAATAATAATAATAATAATAATAATAATATAAAATATACATATTTATGTATATTATATATTGGATCAAAAACATTTATAATTAATTATATCTAGACTTCTTAATAATTACAATGTAAATGTATTTTTAAATTATTGTTAACTTTAAGCGAGAGCAAACCTTTGTGCTGCTCTATCAAATAGACTGGTTTTAAGATCAAGATCTTGTAAGAATGCGTGATTCGGTGACGTTTCTTTTAATTGACTAATCGAATTTAAAAAAGTTCATTAATTTGTGAAAAAAAAAAAAAATCAAGTTCCAAGTTTTTACTTTCGTTAAAACTTACTTGATATAACGATTAACTACCTCTGCAGGTTTATTTAATAAATTAGAAACTACAATAAGGTTTACAAGAGTATTTGGATCATCGTTACTCTATAGACAATTTTTTTAAAAAGAAACTGTTAGATAAAAAAAAAAAAAAACTTTTAAACATTGTTCTTTTATAATACTCACTTTATTCAAAGCTTCAAGCAATAAAGATTCAGCTTCAACATATTTTCCAAGATGAATATTACAAACGGCTTGGCCATTTAATATTTTTACAGTATTAGAAGAAGGAGACTGAGCAATTTCTTCATAAATATAATAAGCTTCTTGATATTTATCTCCTCCCTGAGATAATAATAATAAAATAAAATAAAAAACCTAACCTTTTGAAGAACACAAATCACACGCGTCTCGAATCTCAAACACCTACCGTTTTTAAACCGACCCAAGCTTCAATGAGCTGAGCCAACATCGCATCTTCGGCCCAAGTTTTGGTAGAGGCCAGTTCTCTTTTTGCAAGATCTAATCTATCCAATTTTAAATAAATTTGAATAATCAAAGCAACACTATTTTTATAATCATTTTTGTATTTTTTTTTTTTTTTTTAAATAAAAAAATTTTTAACATCATCAATTCTCAAAAAAGATGTTTGACAAAATCAAAATTTATAATTACCATTCTAAATTCTTATTATGCCTAACAAGAATTTTTAATGCTTCTTCATATAATCCTTCATGATAAAAAATGGATCCAGCAATAATTTGTACGGTAGGATTAATCAAATTGGTAGGATCACTTAATACTACGTCACGAAGTTCTTTTAACGCTTCTTCTTTCTTACTTTCTCCACCACTACCATTATTTAGTCCAACGCTACCAACAGAAGGTTTTGCTTGCAAGTAAATTGCCAATATTTTAACCACTTGTAAATCTATTTCATCGGAACTTTTGATTTCGGATATAACCAAATTATACTTTTGTTGTGCTATATACGCTCTATATAAGTATATTTTACGTTCCAAATTTGCTGCTTCTGACACTTTAGCTCGTGAATTCGCTTCATTTATTACTTGTTGAAATGATCCTAAAAAAACAAATATGGTTGGGCGTAATGTTTAGTAATAACCTTTTTGACAACCAGTATTTTTGATTAAAAGTAGAATTGTTTTTAACCTGTATAAAAAAGATTTCGTAAAGCGAATAATTCGTCCATGATTTGAAAGAAAAATTTACCGAATGAAATTTTTTTTTTTTTTGAAATTTGAGTCGATACGTGATTGATCCTTTTCGTGACACTTGTGCTCCGGACTTAACAATGGTTTCCTAGTCCGCCGCTCAATAATTGGGTCGATTGCACAAAAATCTCGAAACTTTTTTTAGATAAGATCGCTCCGGACTAATCAATTCAGGAAGTTTGGAACTAAAATCCTCAACTGCATTGTAATCAACAAAAAATCTTAATTCTGGCCTAAAGATTCGGATTAACCTTAGCATTCCTTACTTTATTCCATTCCGAATTAAATACAAATCAAAGTTTTTTTTAAATTGAGAATTTGCAAAATGTTGATTGGTACAATTCAATAAAACAAGTTTTAATATTATGGGGCCCATCAGAACTTACAATTAACATAAACTTTTCCGTCTTTGAATTATTGATCGATTCTCTACTATTTTCGTAAAGTTATACAACATACTCGTATTTGACACGTGATTAACTGCTGATAATCTACGTTGGAATAGTTTCGATGATAAATCGAATTCCTCTGTTAGCAGAAATCAATTTTTTTTTTTTGCAAAGGCAATAAGGTGTAAGCAGTCTTCGAAGTATTCAAGAATCAAAACAAGAACCACTTTCTAGGAATGAAATAGAGACAAACTTGCGCATATTGAAAACTAATCTTGGAAAGTTCGCTCCGGACAACAACGAAAACCAATTGAAATTTTATTGCACGTGGTTGATGTGCCGTTACACAGACGTTTGAAATAACAAGCCCCCCACTTCGTCTCGTATAACAGATACAAAATCCACTTTTTAAAATGGAAGTTGACTCTACAATTAAAGGCTGCAGCAGCTCAACGCAATCTTTCGCAAGTGCACCAGGTAACCTTACCGTATAAATCTTCAATTTGCAGCTTCACATTTTTAAAACTCTTTTTTTTTTTTAAAAAAAAAAAAAGGTGATAAACCCACGCGTCTATTAGATTATCTTGGTTACTCCTTAAAAAAGACGGTTTTAGGAAATCACATTTATAAATTATATGCCATTTCAACTTCACCTGCAAGGAAACCACTCTTCAAATCACAAGATAGTGGGAGTTATGAACGTAGAATGTTGTTATTATTATCAGAAAAGAGGAAAGGTTTGCCCCAAGAAGAAGTACTTATGACAGGTTTAGAGGTACACGAGTATTATATGATCAAAGAAGAAACATTAAATATATATATTTCAAAGGTTGACACTACGGGATGTACACCTTCTACTACAAACATCAAAAATGGTAGTGCGACAAAACAGCTAATTTCATCATATATTCATTATCATCTGGAAGAGAGCATGCAACCAAGAAATAAACGCGTTAATATCCACATATTCGCTAGGTCTCAACCGCAATATTTATTCACTAAATCATCAGACAATCCAAATAAACATGTGTTAAATGATGTGGATTTATTAAAGTGGTGGAAAAAGGTTCTAGAACAAACACTTTCAACCACAAACAATAGTTTGCAAGGCATAAAAAAATGGTATTATGTTCCTGGAAATATATCCGAATCAATAGTAAAATCAATTAATAGGGACGGTAAAGATTGGATTTACGGATATCCTTATGATAATGAGAGTAATGCTAACGATGTTATACCAAAATTTGACGATGATGCAAAAGCCAGATGGTTAAATCATTTAGACAATAATGATGAAGATGAGGTTGATAATACCACGGTTAAAGAATTTTGGGAGGTGATTAGTATTGGTAGCGAATTTTCTTGTGGAAAAGTTGCGGGATTTTTTTGGGTTAAAATTGAATGTTTGGCGGGAAAGGATTTAAAAGATGAAGGATATGAGTCTCTTTTATTAAAGAATTTAAAGACAAATGTTGGTGGTATTGTGTTTGATGAACAAGAATTTACAGATATTTTACAAAATTTCTTTGATTTAGATTTTTATAACGAAGAAATTGCTTTGAAAGCAAGTAAACAATGGTGTAAAATATTTAATGATTCGTGTACTCAAAAAGGAATTAATGACGGTGTTTTAGAATTCGTGGTTGGACGACCACAAAACGAACCCGAAGAAATGTCAACCCAAGGAGGAGTTATCGCCAAAAGAAAATCTGCAGGGATTGATGATTCTTTGGATAAGGTTAACGTGTTGTCAGCCTCTCTTATTAAACGAGTTAAAAAATGAGAAAAATTACAATAAAAACTTTGACAATCAAAAATTATCTCGCGACGTATCCCTAAAAAGGTTAGTCATCCATTCAGATCATTTCCAAACATATTGTGAATGAGTCTATAATGCTGGCAGAAATGATCGGCATCGGGCCAAATCTGCCCAGAGTAGTTTTTTACGTCCCGAGTTTAAATTCGGAAATTGTTTTTTTTTGTCAATAATACGGTGAAACGTGAAAATGATACAATTTCCCCTTGTTTTTCACACCTTAATATTTAAGATATAATGACACGTTCTTTTTATTAAATGAATGTGATTGATAAATTTTATTGTAAAACAAATTAATCCTCACTCGTTTACTCGTTTAGTTTTCTAATAGAGATAAAAAATAACAAATTTTATCCCTTAAATAACACATTATACTATGATCTTCAAGGAGTACGCTAATCATTTCTCTAACACCTTTATTTCCACTTAAGTTCCGATATTTTAAATACCAAAGTATACATTTAAAAATTATTGTATTTTTTTTGCATGTGGTTACGTAATAACCTATTAGTCAAATGACTGATGTGAATTATCTGTATTAGGATCACAATTTTTATTTTATTTAAACAAAAAAAAAAAATTATATTTTCTTATCGCAAATTTTCTCGCACCTTTTATTTTTTTTTTTTCCTTTCTTTGGTTTACCTCCTTTAGTTGCATTAAGTCCTTGGAAAAAATAAAGGGAATTGTCTTTTTTTTTTAACTATGCCAACGATAACAAAAAAACTTTCAAATTCATCGAATTTACCCATCGAATGTTGGCAAGAGATATTGAAACATGTACCGGTTGAAGATGTGAAAACGTTATGGTCATGCCTAATGGTGAATAGATCAATGTGTAAAATCGTCACCCCAATATTATGGAGTAATCCTTTTCATCATCTGCAAAAAGGTTCAAGACGTAAACAACCTTCACGAAGAAAGAAAGACGAAGAGGTTAAATTGAAAGTTGATCAAAAGAATTTAATTGACGTGTACATTTCTTGCATGGAGAAAACTTCGATTAAAATCCTTCATGATCATGAAATTCGGATCAAAAGGAAATCGCACCTGGCCCTCACAACATTTGACTACCCAAGCTTCTTGCGTGAACTGCGATATGATATTATATGTGAATCTAGCTCATCTTGGCTTTGGCCAGAACAACTATTACAACTAGAAGGTATGACGGAATTAGGCATCCTTGAACGGATAAGGGAGTATCGAAAATTACTTCTCACGAGAGAACTTTGTAAAATGTTTATAAAGAAAAGTCCTTTAATAACAACCCTCACGTTATCATATTACGTACCATTTTCCGATAAATCTTTTAAGCCTCCAGAGGATTACTTTTTGATTAATAAATTTCCCGGAGCGAATATTTCTTTAAAGAATCTAAAGAGATTTAAATGTAGCCTATTGATCGATCAATGGAAGGAGATTTCCAAGGATTTAACAAGGATTTGTGGAAAGAATGGAGGTTTAGAATCCTTGGAATTAAAATGTATTGGGGAACCAAGTGTGGAATGGGTTGATGATAAAAGCTTTATTAACGTCTGTGAGTTAATAAAGCAACAAAAATCACTTCAACACGTTAAATTGAATTGTTGCGGAAAGTATTGTAACATGGCCAAAGTTGTTTCGACATTATCAACGCACACGGATCATATCAAATCATTAGAATTTATTCATTTAAAATTTAATTCTCATTCTCATGGGATTTCAACAACATTTACCAATTGTTCCGATTCACCACTTCATTTTATTTCAGAATGTAAAGGATTAAACTCGTTAATATTTAAGGATTGTGATGAATTGGATTATAAAGTTTTCGCGGCGAAAAATGTCCCATGGTTTGATCATTTAACTAAATTGGTTTTTGAAGATACGAGCATCTCACCATTTGACATTTCAAGGATTATTTCTTCGTGTCACAAACTACATGAATTATCTTGTGATTTGGGTGAAGATTTCGGTTACCTACCGGAGTTTGCATTAAATTTGCCTTTATCGTTAAAACATCTTACTATAGATGCGATCGAAATTGATGTAGAGATTTTACAAAGTTTTTTGGAAAATATTAAGGCCTCATTGGAAAGTCTCAAATTTCCAGCGTGGATATGCAGGAGCTTTACTGATCAACATCTATACATCATTTGCGACGAATTAAAGAATTCTCTTAAAAGGTTAGATTTAGATTTAATGGCGCCGGAAAATCAACAGCATGGCGTTTCTCTTGAAGCCATTCAATACGCGAGACGAAAGATTACGTCGGTTAATATTGAATGCTACTTTAGTTATGATTCGTGGTGAGATTTTTTATCAGCCGTAATACAAGATAATGAGATATTACTCTTTTTGGATTTTTGTTTGTGCAGGGAAACATCAAATAAAGGAATTTTGATAAACACAAAAACGCATCGTAACGTAATTATTATCGGCGTTTTTTTTTTCTTGTTATTTAGAAATTTTCTTGATCGAAAATTACACGCGATTTACATGATAACGCGTAATGCTTGCATAAGGGAAACGGATAAAGGTTTCTCGTTAATAACCCCGTTAATAATATGAAATTAACAATTTAATAAATATGGCACCGTCAATAGCAACGCACCGTCTTAATAATTTATTATTATGTTATACGATGCATGTCTATTGACGAAGCCCAAATGATATTACCATTTCCTTATATATGATAGCATTCAGATAAAAATTTACTTTAAACAGTAAACACAATTGATTCCTAATTGACGCGGGACGTATTACGAAAAAAAGAAAAGGATTTTCCGCGACA